TACTCAACAAACACTTTTATGGATCAATGTTTCTTTTTCATTTTGATCAAGTGAAGGTTCAAGAAAGGATAACTCTATGGATGATCTAGATCAACGTTGTCTCATTCCTGCAATTGAGGAGGAGGTCGAAGGGTTGGTTTTTGACGGACCAACATGCATCAAGCAGACGAGGACCCATGAAGGGTTGAGCAGGGGAGAAGACAGATCGGCGGTCCGCCCCCCATCCTGAACCGCCACCTTGGACCGATCGATATCGCAGAGTTTGTAAGATGATATTTCAAGAAAATTGGCAGGAAAGAATTTGGAGTAATTATCAGTTATTTTATTTTTATACTCTTATTTTCGCATTATGTTTGTTTACGTTGCTCTATTCTTCGTTGATATCTTTAGTTTTAGGTCTACAATAATGATTGACAATTTTGTTAGATTTATGTCGTTTGAAGAATCTATATGACTAGTGATTATTGTGTCACACTCGTTTGGTAGTTAGCGATTCATATTACTCTTTCAGAGGTGATCGTTTCTAAGTTTCTAAGTCCAGCCATAGGGTTGACACTACAAAAAACGATTGAATTAGGCACTAAAAGCAGGCACCTAAAGCCCTAGTGGCTGTACTCACCATATTTGTCACTTGAATTAGAGTGACTAAATTGGCACCACTTTTATCACATAAAGCAGTTGGTGAGAAAAAAATGAAGGACCGATTCTTCAGTGGAAGATTTCTACGGTGCGCAAGTTGAGTGTATAGTTAGCCGAATTTATCCGTTATCACAAGTTTAGGGTCATTTAAATTTTATTTTGTGTATATATATTACATTAATCCCTACACTTTTACATAAGCGATTTCTCCTTAGCTTCCAACTTCATTTTTTTCATACTCAAGCACTCTAGATGTTTACACTACAAAAGAAAGCGAGGATTATACAGTCCAAATATCAACTCCTCAAGTTGATTAAGGAAGAAGATATGTGAACTCAAGTTAAGAAATCTTCCACTATTTCCGCCATCATTTGATTCAATTCGGTAAGTGTGTTTCCACACAGTTTGTACAATTTTAATAAAATGTTAGTTTTTGTAATTTCATTTTACATTTAATAATTTTCCTCTGCTGAATTAAATGTAATTATAAGTTACAATATAACATATGTAATTGAAATTACTCAAATACTAATGTTGGTTAAATATGAAAATTTAGGAGTAATAATAATAGCATGATTAGATAGTTGTCTCCTTATATAGCGAGAAACCACTTTTCTTTTGAAAGGTACAAAATAAATTTTTATGTCGTAGCAGTTACAATGCATGTTTATTGTATTGGTTTATTAAATATTTATTTACTTACTTTTTTAAAATTGATGTGATGAGAAATAAAAAGTATTTAGACTTAAAAATATATAACTTGTTGCTAAATTAATGTTATTTATTTATTGACAGTTTAAATAATTAGTATGACGTAGTTGTTTGGTGAATCATAATATTAAAAAGGATGAGAATAGACATTTAACATTACATTTTCAATAATATTTTTGAAAATGTCAATCTAAAAATATCTAGAATTTCAAAAATGATATGTCATACGTAGTATAAAATTGTTACCACATAAAACTAATTTAAATCATCTTTTCAAATAATGTCAATATTTTATTTTGGTTGGCAAATAATCTCAATATTAAATAATGTAGTTATATTAGCAAAATAATAGGGTCGGTTATGTACAGCAAACTAAAAAGACTTACTTTATATACATATAGAAAAGAGTAATCTTCCGGAACCCCTTCCGTCCTCCACCTTTTGGGGCGGCTCCCGCTGTTTTTTTCCTGAGTTTATCCACACCGAATTTTAGCTAAAAATTCGATTGGGAAGACAGTCAAATGATATTTTGAAGATAACTGAGCTAGAATATACATATAAAACACAGTTATCTTCCAAAAATCATTTAACTGTCTTCTCAATTGAATTTTTAGCTGAATTTTAGTGTGGTTAATATAAACATAATGAAGAACATGCTAAAACAATTTCAGTAAAAATATCACAGGGAACCGCACCAAACGGTGGAGGCCGGAAGGGGCTCTTGTCTGGACCAGCTGCACAGGAATATTCCTGTGTATAAAATATACTTATATATAGCTTAATTTCCCCTAAGAATTAACTTAAAGTACTAAATAAAGAGGTGTATGTGGTGTTACGTTTGATATATGAATATAGTAGACTAAATATTTATATTAAAATGGATAGTGTCATGTGTAATAAATACCATAATAGTAATAATGATAATAATAATAATAATAATAATAATACTTTTTTTTGAAATAATAATAGTAATACTAATAATAGTAATAGTAATAATAATAATAACAATAAATAATAATAATAATAATAATAATATAACAACAACAACAATAATAATAATCATAAATTACAACCTCGTATCCGCTTGTGATTGTAAATATGCATTTTAGATTGTTGTGTTACAAATAGAATATGAAATTAAAGTTTAAAAAAATATTAGCGAGTTAATTTTCATTGATATTTAAGCATAGAATATATATGTATTGCAGGTACAATGTACAAACGTGCTAGGAGTTGGATGTATCACGACCACTTACAAAATAATGATTTGTCTGATGAATTTGAAAGTGGCGTTGAGGATTTCATTACATTTTCATGTGCGAATCCGACATATATGGATGGTACTAAAATAAGGTGTCCATGTAAAAATTGTAAAAACAAGGCATATAAAGATCCAGAGGATGTTCGATGGCACCTGTACAAATATGGATTTATTGAAAATTATTTTAACTGGACATCACAAGGTGAACCTATTCATCACGAGCGCTTCGTTGAACGAGAGAATTTATTGGCCGCTATGTCTCGCAACGATCCCACTCAACGGAATGATAATGAGAATATGAATTGGGATCAAAGGATGGTAAATGATGCTATTGGTCAGCATAATGTTCCAGAGCATTATGATAGCTCTCCAAACACGAGTGATGAAGGTCCCAACGAGTCATTTTCAGCACCAACCACAAATGACTCTCAAGATTTTTTTTTTCGTGTGCTTGAATCTGCGGACCGACCTCTTTATGGATGTGGTACAAAGTTCTCACAGCTGCAATTTGTGTCGAGATTAATGAGCATCAAGGCTGACCATAATTGGTCAGAGACTAGTGTGACCGAACTTTTGTTATTGCTTAGAGACGCTCATGAAGGCCCTAACACCATCCCAGAGAGTTTTTATGCGATGAGAAAGTTAGTATCGGATTTAGGCCTCCCTGTCCATCATATTGACACTTGCAGATCGGGTTGTATGTTGTTTTGGAAAGATGACAAGGACTTACACCATTGCAAGTTCTGTGGAGAAGAAAGATACAAGAATCAGAAAGGTATAGGCGATGGTGAAACACGTAAGTTGACAGCCGTAACCACTCTTCGATATTTGCCACTTGCACCAAGGTTACAAAGACTATATGCTTCTGTTGTTACTGCGAGTGAAATGACGTGGCATAAGAACCACGTGTCACAAGAAGACATGATGTGTCATCCATCAGATTCACCGGCATGGAAGCATTTTGATACCACATATCCTAGATTCGCTAAAGAGGCACGCAATGTTCGTTTAGGGTTATGTACTGATGGATTTGCACCACATGGACAATATGGTAAAAATTATTCATGTTGGCCAGTTATATTGACTCCTTACAATCTCCCACCAGGCATGTGTATGAAAAGTCCATATATGTTTTTAACGCTGATAATTCCTGGACCAAATAACCCTAAAACAAAAATTGATGTTTACATGCAACCATTAATTGATGAATTGAAGATGTTATGGGAGACAGGAGTTGTTACTTTTGATGCCGCACGTAATGAATTATTTAGGTTGCATGCTTCTGTACTATGGACGATTAGTGACTTTCCTGCGTATGGTATGCTTTCTGGGTGGAGTACGGCTGGGATAATGAGTTGCCCTATATGCATGGAGAATACAAGTGCCTTTTATCTAAAGTATAGTAGAAAGCCATGTCACTTTGACTGTCATAGGAAGTTCTTGCCTCTTAATCACTCTTACCGAAGGGATAAAATGTCTTTTTTAAAAGACAAGATAGAGAGAAGTGCACCACCACCTCGTCTGAATGGAAGAGAGCTTTGGGCGCGTGTCAGATCCATTCCATCGGCAATAGAAGAGCCCAATGAAAAACCAAGTGGGTATGGAGTAGAGCATAAATGGACTAAACAAAGCATTTTTTGGGAGCTTCCATATTGGAAAAACCTACTTATTAGGCACAACTTGGATTTGATGCATACTGAGAAGAACGTTTTTGATAATATTTTTAATACTGTGATGGGTGTAAAGGGTAAAACAAAAGATGGTTTGGTGTCAAGAAAAGATGTTGCTTTGTATTGTAGTCGTCCTGGCATTGAGGTTCAAAGTGATTCTGTGGGGCCTATAAACAAAGCCGTGTACACAGTTACCCATACGCAAGCCCAATGCATTCTGGAATGGATTACGTCCCTACAATTTCCAGATGGATACATGTCAAACTTAAAAAGATGTGTGAACTTTGACGAGTCACGCTTAATGCATATGAAGAGTCATGATTGTCACGTGTTCATGCAAAGGTTGATACCTATAGCATTCAGAGAGATGCTTCCGCCTCATGTTTGGGGCTGCCTTACCGAGATTAGCATGTTATTCCAGACACTGTGTTCAGTTGTTCTTGACACCAAAGCTATACAAGATCTTGAAAGGACTGTACCTATACTTATGTGTAATATGGAAAAGATTTTTCCTCCTGCATTTTTTGATCATATGGAACACCTCATTATTCACTTGCCATATGAAGCTAAGGTTGCTGGTACAGCACAATACAGATGGATGTACGTTTTTGAAAGGTATTTATTAAAATTTATTTATAAGATTATATATATATATATATATATATATATATTCAAACTTTTTGTGCAAACTAACGTATTTAATGTGTATTTTGTATTGTAGATTCCTTCGAGAGTTGAAGAAAAAAGTGAAAAATAAAGCGCACGTCGAAGCATCTATTTGTCAGGCGTATATAACGGAGGAGATTTCCACATTTGCATCATACTACTTTGAGAGTCACGTAAGATGCAAACGGCGGCGTGTTGGGCGAAATGATGACAGCGGAGGTGCAACATCAAGGGGAGCTTTTTCAATTTTTAACTATCCTGGTCGAGGATCTGGAAAAGAGCATCATCGGTTTGTCGTTGGGGAGGAGTTACAAATCGCTCAAACATATGTATTAGTGAATTGCCCTGAAGTAGATCCATATTTAAGGTAAAAAAAACAATCATAATAACTCTTTTATTTTCCTATTAATATTTTATACTTCAAGAGGTCTAAGTTGTAATATCATGAACAGGCAATTTATTGAAAACTTTCAAGGTCAAGATGAGAGTGAACTCGATAAATTGATATCTTCTCAATTCGCACAATGGTTCAAAGATTTTGTAAGTTGACGGACCTATTTTGATACATTGTTCCTTGGTTGTCATTTGATAATGAAATATACATATATTTTGTTTTAGGTACATTCTCCTGTTAATGGTATTAGTGATCCACTTTTATCTTCTCTGGCTTGGGGCCCAAAATCTCGTGCAACTACTTGGCCTATGTATTTCATTAATGGGTATAATTATCATACTGTTGAAAGGGGATTGAATAAAGCAACATACAATAGTGGTGTGTGTGTTCGCTCTTCCAATTACGCCAATTCTGATACCGATTGGTATGGCTCTCTTGAGGATATTATCCAGCTTGACTATCCTGGCCCACTTGGATTACATGTTGTCTTATTTAAATGTTCATGGATTGATCCTATCAGGGGGGTAAGAAAACATCACAAGTACAACATTGTAGATGTTAATTTTAAGTACAAGTACAAAGTGAATGAGCCATTTATTCTAGCCCAACAAGCCGCACAAGTTTACTATGCAAGCTATCCATCTATGAGAAAAGGAAGTGATTGGTTGTGCGCATGCAAGACAAGTACAAAAAGGACACTGATCGAAAATGTAAAAGAAGATGAATTTGCATATCAGCCTAATGAACCAGATGCAGTGCCCCAAATCGAGCCGATTGAGACTATGCCTCCTTTACGTGATCCCAGTGGCATTGAGTTACATGTTGATCCTGAGGATGCCATTGAACCAACTAACGCGGGTCAAGAAGATTCCGATCGGGATGAAGGTAATGGTTCTGATGAAAGTGAAGATGTGGAAGTTGAAGTTGAAGATGAAGGATTTTATTAGTTGTTTTTCACTATAAATTTGGAGTAGCTATATATATATATATATACATATATATATATATATATATATATATATATATATATATATATATATATATATATATATATATATATATATATATATGTTTGTTATTCTTTCACGCTTTAAATTATGAAAGCCATACTCCATTTAGTTCGCCTTCTATTTATAGTTGTTAATCAGATGCTGAGTTTATTTTATAATCTGACTCAAATTAATAAATAAATACTTAGATTTTTCTTTTAAATTATTTCAGTCCCAACCACAATCACACCCAATTACACTTGAATGTTTTGATTTGAATGTACTTCAGGTCTAGACTAGTTAAACAGATCATTTAACTAAATTTTAATGGATTAAACAAGACTTAAACACATCATCATTTGACTCGACTTTGATTAATATATTATTCAATGAGCTATATAAAAAGTACTCCGTATTAAACAATATACTTTGATTTTATGTTAAATTTTAAAAGGGACCCGACTTAGATTAATCTTTTCAATTAGACCAAAAAGATTACACAAAACGAGATCAGGCCAGATTGGGTTCTTAGTCATGCGCTAATTCAGCTAAACTAGATAAAAAAAATGTTAACATTTCAAAAATTACGCTTATAATTTAATTTTATTGAATAGGTAAAAATTTAGAAATTCTATAAATCCGTACAGTGAATATGTGATAATTAAATAAACTCTAAATGCTTTTTACTCGGATTTTTTTCAGTCCAAAACCAGGCCAAACCAGATTAAACCAGAGCAGACCAGACTTAGACAGTTATAAAGTATACAGAAATCAGATAACTGAGATCAAACCAGACCAAATCAGTTCAGACCATATCAAATCAGACTAGATCAGATCGGATTATAAAATTTCAGTCCAATTAAAAACATCATTGGTCTAATTATTACTACGTACTTCGTATTAAATTTCATTCATTAATTTAAAAAAATAATGTCAAAACTAAAATCTGGTACGGAATATTTAGGATAAGAATGAAAATGTAAATAAAAAGACTAACTTGTTTGATTAATTATTTTATTATCCCTTCTATTTACTTTCACCACTCCCTGCCATTTCCCACTAAAATACAACCACTGCTCCCACTAATTAGTAATATCCTAAAATTTTGGCGCGCACAACACACTCTTTACCGCACAACCTCCAGAGAAGAGCGAAAAGACCTATGAATTGAATACGCAGAGCAGGAAGTTACGATAAATTTCAAACGAAGCCGGAATCCCTTGCTCCATCATGTTATCTACTACGTACTGGTCTCAATCTTCCACCATCTGCTAATTAATCATCCAGGTAATGTACGCACACTTATTCTAAAGTTAAATTGAGTTTAGCATAGCCAGCTTTTGATGGAGTTGACCCAGGCACTTGAAATTGAATAGTTGAAATTTTCTTGGGGAAGCCGGCCAGGGATTAGTAATTCCTAGGAGCAGAGCCTCATATGAAACGTATTACTAATTCTCTTTTTTAATTCTAATTCGTAAGTTCCAATTCCAAATCTGTAATTTCCAAATCCGTATTACTAATTCTCTTTTTCAATTCTAATTCGTAAGTTCACATTCCAAATCTGTAATTTCCAAATCCATATATGACCCTATTTCGTTAGTTTTATTTTGTGGTTTAATGCGTAGTGACCAAGTGAGGACAAAGTAATTGCTTTATTAGTTATTAGCACTTCTTTATAGCATGATATGGCATCTACATAATTACCCTGTTGTTTGTATATTATGGCTAAATTATTAAAAGGAGTAGAGAAGCTCGTTATCACATAGGATCAATCCTGAGTACTTCATTATAGCAATATAGCATGATATGACATCTACATAATTGCCTTGTTTGTATATTTAGTGCATTTTATTCAGTTTGATTGGTTAAATAATTGTATCAAACGAAAATCTGTTTAGTTATATAATTCATCTCTTTGTTATTTAGTTATGTTATGTAGATAGTTGTTTAGAAACTAATCGTTTAGTTTGTGTTCTTTTTACGAATTGATATGCTTGGAAATTAATATGCATGAGTGTTGGGTGTTTCATCCAATCTGTTTAGTAATTAGTAGTGATGCTTTAATACTCTTTAATCTTGATAATACGTTGAAGATAATTTTACTAAACAAAAGATGCGGACACGTGGAGGACGTGCTTTGTGTGCACGGGAGAGTCGTGCACCTCAAAGTAGAGGTAGAGATAGGAGTAGCTTATCTTCACCCTCAAGTCCTATGGTTGGAAGTCAATATTCAAGTGGAGAGGGAAGTAGACCTCTTGTCCCAAGTACTCCTACATCACCGCATTCATCAAATGGGGAGCAACCCCAAGAGACGGACGTCACACCATTTCCCTTGCACGAAATGCATTGGTTAGTTTATATGTTTCTATATAGTCATGGTTAATACTTAATAGTATGTTGTTGGAGGAAATTCGCCGGATAAACCTGCAAAAAATTGTTAGAAAATAATATAGCTCGAGTCGCGTAAACGCTGTCCTCAAGAAAGTATTTCCGACTAGCGAAAACCTTTCCCCAAGATAAAACGAACTCTTCGGCGTAAGCCGGTAACAGAACAACGAGAGTACGTAGAAAAATATTGATCCAGCAGAGTAAAAAATTATAGGCGATATTTTGCTCAAAAGTAATTTTTTCTAGCCAGCCCCTAGCCTCGATCGCCGAACACCCATATATATACTTGAAACTCCAGCAAAAGAAAGCTACACATTCGTTACCAGCAGATGAGTGAAAAGTTACTTGGCATCATTTGAGACTTACGTTTTTATTGGTAAATAACATTATTATAGTAATAAATGTAATTAATAATGACACTAATAATAAAGACTCAAACGTTGGTTAGCATCATTTGGAAAATAAAAGATCTGCAACGGTTTCAAAAGTGTTTTAATGTAAAACTTGATTAATTCATTTAAACAGTAAAATACAACAATATTAGAGCTCTCAAGGTCCAAGAGAGGTAATCAAAATTAAGATTTTCCCACCAAAATAAATAATAAGATATTATTCATTTGAAATACTCCTGTTTTTCCAACAATCCCCCACATATTTCAAATGAATAAATTTAGATTTTGAAAAATAGTTTAGAAAATTTCTGCTGGATTAAAGGAATGAAACTTTAAGTTTGGTGTCCGTAGACTATGAACCAAACCGAGACGATTAAGTCTTAATAAACCGAGCTTTTGGTGAAACGTATAGTTTCTTGAACCAACAAGCTACTATTGGTAAATCAGGGTCTTAATGGTCGTGTCTCACCCCGCACAATTTCTCGTTATTACGCCGTTGTGCGCCGTAAGGCCATGCGCGTGCTTGGTGTTCATGAGTGCTCTAGAAGTTTTGTCATGCTTCATAGAGGCGGCCCCACCTCACACTCATATAGGTGATATCATCAAGTGTGTACCGCTTTTGCACACCACCCTAAAAGTAAGGGCTATGATAATCATTAAGAGCTTTTAGCTCATCCTCTCAAAGTATGCGGTTTCTAGCCTATATCTCACATCATGGAAATGGACTATTTTAATTAGGCTAGCAGAACTAAATGAAAGACTTGTTATTACCCATATGAACTTGCTTCATGGGATCTCCAATCACACAAGTTGGGTTCCCATCCCCATTCGTTTCAAGTGACACTAGTCCCATTTCCTTCGATGTTTCGGTTATCATTTTTCGTCCTAGGGATTCTGTCAAGGAGTAGCTAATTCCTTCACAAAATTAATGGAAATAATTCCATTCTCAAACATCATTGCACCACCATTAAGGGTGAATGGATATCCACTATTTTAATTTATCTCATGTGAGTCGACTCAGATTTCGTCGTTGTATCTCGGCAATACAACGGATAATTCTCAATAAAATATAACATCGATGTGACTCTCTAGTACATCGGATAATTCTTAATAAATATACCATAATTAATGGTACCTCTCAAATATCTCAATAACCGCCTCAACGCAGTCCAATGATCCCACTTGGGTTATGAGTATATCGGCTCAATCTTCCGACAACATAAGTTATCTTGGGCCTCATATACAATTTATGAAATGTAATAAACATCCAATAATTTGGGAATACTCATATTGAGCCTTAAGATCATCTCTTATATTTTTAAGTGCATATGAGAGTCATAAGGGATACTCACGGGATGACATTGAAATGTCCAACCTCTTTAAAAGTTTATCGACATACTGCTTTTGAGATATTATAGTTATAATACCATAATCCTTCCTTATAACTTTCATAGCCAAAATCACTTTTGCTACCGCCAAATTTTTCAAACTATAAAGTTCACATATAATCCACAATTCCACATACAAGTAAATAATAATGCACACAGCTTTTCACATTTAGTGTAAACACACTTTTCTACTTCTCATAACACTTCATCAAATTTTTCATTCCATTGTTTTGGAGCTTGTTTCAACCCATAAAAGGATTTAATCAATTTACACAATTTGTGTTCCTGACTAGTAACCACATGACCCTCCGGTTGCACCATATAATTTCTTCCTCTAGCTCTTCATTTAAAACACAATTTTAACATCCACTTGATGGAAAAAGTTTGTGAGTAGAGTCAATTTCAGTTTATATGGCCCCAAGATTTTTTATTATTATAAATAAGTCAAAAGATATGTATAAGAATCATTTCCAAAGATTTCTCTATCATTGGCTTCTTGCTTCTTCTCAAAAGAGAAGGTTCATCATTACAAGAATAATTTTCTTTTAATAGATCACTATCACTAGAGGGTTCATCGTTAAAGGTTTCATTTCTTGTAATGAATTATACTCACTATATGGTGCAACGGTCTTGTGCTCAAATTTCAAAGGAAACACATTTTTTCAAAAATTCAGCATTTTTGTTTCAATAACATATTAACAATTAATCATACTATGCATCATTTGGTGTGTACACATTCTCCAAACATATCACATTAATATTAGCAATTACATAGCTTAAAGTATTACACATTAGCACACTATGTTCACAAGAAAAAAAAACCATATGTGCTTCACTGTTTCAGTTTATGCAAAACTAGCAAAGAGTTATAAAGCTCAGTTTACTCAATGAGATAGGTAATAAAAATATAGCTAAGCACCCCCACAATTTTAAATATTTGAGAACCAGGTGCATAGCCCTTCTAGAATTCATAGAGAAATAATTTATATCTCAACCTTTATATGTACACAATGATTTAATAGAAAGAAACTCGCCTTTTAAATTTAAGTACGATAAAATTTAGTTTATCTCGAAAAAACACCAATAAATGTGATAAAGAACTTTTACCACCTCTAAGCACAGTGTAGTTGCTCTAATAAAGTTTATAAAAAATTCATCAAAAAATATATCACAATTTTCTAGAGGTGCTCCCATATCACTAAATATCAATCTTATGATATTTAGGAATTTCATAAATCAAATAAAAACAAAGATCAACTTAAAATGCCACGTAAAAGTCAAATCTATAATATCACATTACACGATCATTAGCCAGCTGTAATTACGTATATCATTATCATGCAACACTTCAAAATTACTGAGCAAAAAAAAATTCTGTTCTTACAATAGTCATTTCCCACAAAAATATCATTTTTGGTCATAACAAATTTGTCACAACCAAAAGAAACTTTAACCCCAACTTTTCCCAAGAGATAAACGGAAACTAAATTAGTCCGAATCTCGGGCACATGAAGCACATCATTTAGTGATAAAGTTTTCCCCGATGTGAGTTTAAGAAGAACTTTCCCTATTCCATGCACCTTAACGGTTTTAGTGTCCGCTAGGTACACGAGCTCTTCACCATCTCCCATAGTAGTATAGGAGGTAAAAGCATTTTTGTTTTTACAAATATGCTTGGTAGCCCCGGAGTCTACCACTCACTCATTCACATCATTAATTTTACAACTTTGAGAAACAACCACAATAAAATTATCATCACTACCAACCAAGTTTAAACTTGATTTTAGTGGGTTGTTGTTTTTCATAGTTGTCATCTTATCACTAAATAAACGAATAACATTTTTCTTAAAAATTGGAGTTAAAATATGACTTATTGTAAGTAGGAAAGTGGTGAGACTAACCATTATATATAGAAGACTTTTGTGAACGTTTATCCGATTGAAAATGGCTTCCCATGCGGGTGTATCACAGCGTTGTGACATCACGTGTGCAGATATATCCGACGCCAGATACTTTCTTGAGATTGTTGGAGGAAATTCGCCGGATAAACCTGCAAAAAATTGTTAGAAAATAATATAGCTCGAGTCGCGTAAACGCTGTCCTCAAGAAAGTATTTCCGACTAGCGAAAACCTTTCCCCAAGATAAAACGAACTCTTCGGCGTAAGCCGGTAACAGAACAACGAGAGTACGTAGAAAAATATTGATCCAGCAGAGTAAAAAATTATAGGCGATATTTTGCTCAAAAGTAATTTTTTCTAGCCAGCCCCTAGCCTCGATCGCCGAACACCCATATATATACTTGAAACTCCAGCAAAAGAAAGCTACACATTCGTTACCAGCAGATGAGTGAAAAGTTACTTGGCATCATTTGAGACTTACGTTTTTATTGGTAAATAACATTATTATAGTAATAAATGTAATTAATAATGACACTAATAATAAAGACTCAAACGTTGGTTAGCATCATTTGGAAAATAAAAGATCTGCAACGGTTTCAAAAGTGTTTTAATGTAAAACTTGATTAATTCATTTAAACAGTAAAATACAACAATATTAGAGCTCTCAAGGTCCAAGAGAGGTAATCAAAATTAAGATTTTCCCACCAAAATAAATAATAAGATATTATTCATTTGAAATACTCCTGTTTTTCCAACATATGTTACTTGAACCACTTATTTCTAACATATTATTTTTCTCTGTTTTTCATTTTTAAAAAGCCGCAAAACGCATACAGAAATTAAGGCGATCATGAAATCTCGCTTTAGCGGCCCTTGGAGGTCATATCGGAACGTGCCTGAAACGGAGAGAGATCACTGGTTTGATGAATTCAGGGTAACTCAATTAAATTATATCACGTTTAATTTTTTATGAACTTTATGATCTCTTTAGTTGTTAGGAGTAATTTAAAGTTGCTATGTATTTGCAGTTGACTCATCCATTTGCGGACTCGGCAAAAAAGAAATTCAGAAAGCTTTTTGACAAATATGGTAGCCAAGGTCTCAAGAAAATGTTGCAAACAGCACGAGAGGAAAATGTGCCACCAGAATATATCGCTGAGAATGATTTTAAAGATCTTCAGACATATTGGGCCTCTCCGGAGTTCAAAAAGCTTAGCGCTAAGGGAAAAAAAGCTCGATCATCAGAATCATGCAAAAACAACCCATACTGTGGAGGGTCCATCACTACTGCTGATCATAAGAAAAGATTGGTATTTTTTCCCTTACTATTTATAGCTATATACAAACTTAGGATTTATTCATTTACTAATGTTGTTATTTTCCAAAGAGGAAAATACTTGGTAGGAGGATTTTCATGCGAGAGTTGTATGGTGTCACATGGAAGAGGAAAAAATCTCGTGAATGGAGTGGGCCGAGGATACAGGCATGCTATGTAAGATAGTTAAATAGATATTTAGTATTTTATTTATTGTATATGCATACGAATTTTGCTAATAGTTGGTTTATATGATCTGCTAAATATTTTTTGTGTTAGGAAAATTTTATAGCTGCTAGACAAAAAGCAAGAGATGAGGTCAATGATGAATCACAACCTATAGATGAGGATGAAATTTTTATGGAGCATTTTGGACCTCCCCAATGTGGTAAGATTTTGGGGTTAGGGAGTCTTTCTAGCGAGGTTCAAACCAAATTTCGAGGCGACACATCTCCCTCCTCCATACATTGTGAGAATTTAGAGGAACTCATTGATAATCGCATCAAAGTGGCACTTACTACTAGCATTCGGGAGTGCATAGAAGCCTCGGTGCAAACTGTCGTTCGAGCAGCTATTGAAGAAAATGATAGGACATGGATGACTCGTTTTGCTGAGTACCGTAACTCTTTGGCCTTGCAAAACTCCGGACTTCCTACTCAAAGTACTCTAGCTCCAAGTACTTCCATATTTCCTTTCCAACAATTCCCGTTCTCACAAATGGCACCACAAGGGCAGTCTTTTCAAAATGGCGCAATGAGTTTTACCGACTGGATGAATTTTGGCTCGTCAATGTTGTCGCCACCGTCTAGAAATTAGTTTTAGATATATTTTTTTCTTTTCATTTATGCAGCTTTGAATTATTGTATATTTATAATTGTTAAAACAATTTGTTTTTTATGGCTGGAGACATATATTTAATACGGAGTATAATATATGCTTGATTCAATTACGTAGTCTTCAAAGTGTACGTGTTCATTGATATTTAGCTACTTTGATTGAGATTTTCTTTAGTTTGTTATACGTAATTTCAATTTTAATCATGAAAATTAATTTTAAATTTTTTTGGACAACTATTGACACGTCTTAATTTTAATTATGAATTGCTAAATATAATGTAAAATATATAAATTTATTTATTTTACATTTAAGAGCAAATTATACTCACTACATTAGTTTAGTGACAAACAAGGTGACAAACAATTAACCGTCTCTCAAAACGTGGTCATTAGAGGTAACGGAATTACTAAAATTGGCACTTAGTTTTTCACCTATTTTTAAAGTGACTAAATTATTCACCAATACAATGGAGTGACAATTAATTAGGCACCACCAATTGGCACTTCACAATATGAGTGACTACTTTAGTGACAACTCAATTTTCTCACCCAATTTTCTGCCCAACGAGTGAAAACTATGGTGGCTAATCAAGACTATTTTTGTAGTGTGATAATGGTAGTTGTTTACAGATAGTTGTTGTCAATGTTGGGATGGTCTCTTTGAAATTGTTGTAATGATCTCAATCATAATGATATACTATCGTATATTAATATAAGCGAGGTTTTCTTAAAAAAATTTAAGTAATTCTGTAATTGTTCTCCTTACTAGTTCTCTTACATATCCGGCCAGTCCATTGGTGGCGGGATAATCCGGTAGCGGATTGCGGAGGCTAGTGATAGAATGTTGACAGCATTCTGAAAATTTTGGCGGATTCTAGCGTCCAGCAGCAGATCGTACAACAACGACAGATCAGGCGGCGGCTGTGGTGGCTGGTGGCAGTGGCCATGAGTCCACAGTAGTGGATGGAGCCTGGGGGGCGGAAAGACTGCAATGCTAAATTTGTCAAAACACACATAATTAGTTAGGGAAAAGGGGCAAATAAGCTCTCGAACTAATAAAAAAGTGCAAATAAGCCCTTTTGCAGGAGGTTCTGTCCGATCATCGTCATTTGGGGAGGTTCTCGGTGGAATTCTTTGATAATTTTTTTTGAGCATCTTTTTCATTAAGTCTAGTTTAGCCATACCGAATATCGGCTAAAAATTCAACCGGGAAGGCACTCAAATGATTTTCGGAAATATACTGCGTTGTTTAACTGCGCAGTTATCTTCAAAAATTCATTTGACTGTCTTCCCGGTTGAATTTTTAGCTGAAATTCAGTAGGACTAAACTAGACTTAATGAATAAGATGCTCAAAAAAATTCATCAAAAAATTCCACCGTGAACCTCCCCAAATGACGATGACCGGACGGAACCTCCTACAAAAGGGCTTATGTGCACTTTTTTGATTAGTTCGAAGGCTTATTTGCCCCTTTTCCCTTAGTTCTATTTAAAACATTTAAAAGAGTAGGGTCATATTTTGAACTATTGAAGCAAACAAAGTTTAAGTTACTCCGTATTACATACGGAGTATTTTCTCTACTTTAAAGTCAAGAGAGTTTTACGAATACATCATATCCAAGAATATGGCTTCCAAATCAATATTGGTCTTCTTGATAATCATCACCTTCTTCATACTTAGGATCAAAGGGCAAAACTCGAGAAGCTCACAAGCATGGATAAGAGCTGGTTACTGGGAGTCTCTGGGTCCCCTCCCTGTCCACGAGATAAACTCCGCTCTCTTCACTCATCTCTTCTACGGTTTCGCTTTCGTGAACCCAACCACCTACCAACTCTTCTTCAACTCCTCAAACAAACAATCCTTCACCGACTTCACCGCCACCGTAAGGCGCAGAAACCCATCCATCATCACCATTCTCTCCGTCTGGTTCGCAAGAAACGAAGCCAAAGACTTTTGGTCAATGGTCAAAGACCCATCACACAGAAAATCCTTCATACAGTCTTCTGTGAAAACCGCCCGGCTTTACGGCTTCCACGGCCTCGACCTCCTCGGGGTCATGGGCGGAGCTAGGGGAGGGCCATCCCTGGCTCTGGCCCAGCCCAAATTTTAAAATGCTTGTATTTTTAGTGTAAAAAATTCCGTGTAAAAAATTTCAAAAAATATTCTTTGTATCGGCCCAGTCCGGCCTAGTGCTCTAGCTCCGCCCCTGCTCGGGGTCATGCCCCCCGCGGCGGATAACGGCAGGAGCGCCGCCGACATGGCGGCTTTCTTGGACGAGTGGCGGGCCGAGGTGGTCTCGGAGGCGGCCGGGAAAGAGCAGTTGTTGCTGACCATGCTGGCTCATTTCTAGCCGGCGGTCAACGAATCATCCGGGAGTTACCCCGTTGACTCCATGAAGAGAAGCCTGGATTGGATAAGCATCCAAGCGTTTGACTATTACGTGCCGACAGTTGACCGGTTGACTGGCTTCCATGCAGCTCTATATGCCCCTAATAATAAGGGCAGTCGTCCTAATTCATCATTAAGAATGGCTAACACGGATGATGGTTTGAAGGCATGCATGGCTTTCGGTAGGGTATAGTCCTGGGAAAATAGTTTTGGGGTTGCCCTACCATGGGTATATTTGGACCCTTGACTCGAATGATAGTGACATTGGTTCGCCGGCTTGGGGGTTGTCTTCGGCCGCTGATAGTTCCATGGGCTATAAATCCATCATCTCCTTCGTTCAGAATTACGGGTATGGGGCTAAACCGGTGTATAATTCGAGTTATGTGGCCAACTCTTTCACACTGTGGGACACGTGGATCAACTTTGATGACGTGGATGCCGTTCAAACTAAGGTGTCCTATGCCAAGTGTAAGGGTCTCCTTGGTTATAACGCGTTTCAAATCGCCAACGATAATAATTGTGCTCTTTCTCAAGCCGCAGGTACTTCTATTCCACCACCAAGAATGCCTCTTATTTTTTCATCCGTTTGTCTCATACAATAAAATTCATCAATTTAAAATCAATCATATCATAATTGCACTCTTCCTCATGTTCTAGAAAAAGATGACATTCCATCCCCCAGGTTCCAACACCGAGCGGACAGTTTATTGGGAGGATATATATATTTTTAATTACAAGGTGATAGACAGCGAATAAGAATTTGGTTCAAATGCTTGCAAATTCTATGCATTTTAACATAATAATCTTCCATCACAGTTATCGGGATTTGAATCTGTGACTCACCCTTTGTGACACCTCATATATATCAATTAAGTTACGCTCATTGATACGTTCTCGTGTTCCAATGTTAATGAGACAAAGAAAATAATAATTATTAAGAACGGACAGACACCTCATCATTAAAAAAATTCACCATTTTCACTTCCTCCCAATTTCATTGTCGAATCTCGATCATCATCAATTATTATCAAGTCTCTAATTCGAATTTTTGTTTTGTTTTATTTCCCGTTCCTTTTAATCTCACCTCAATTTCGTTTGTAATATTACACTTTCGAGGAAACACACATGATGACTCGCATTAGTCATTTAGTAAGACCAAACAAGCAACTACTACGTACCATCGGTTGTTGTCAATTTTGTATGAAATATGTTCTTTGACAAATTCTAAATTTGCGGCAAATCAACTATTTCACCATTCCATTTAGGATTAGGAATAGGAATAAAGCTATTTTTACATTTTTGTTTGTACACATTTATTGTACACATTCCCTAATTTCCTTTTGTACACAAGCAGCTCTTCGGAAGCTCCTGTATACACAAACAACTAGACAGTGTTGCAACAAAAGTGTACAAAAAAGTGTACACGTGGCATGACCCCTATACACATAGAAATACACGTAATGGGACTTTCTCTTTAAATATTTCTAATTTTCTATTAGAAAGAATTGTTTGATTGTCCATCTTTGAGATATTTTTGATATATATAGCTAGATAAAATATTTTCTAGATAATGAAAATAGAAGCAATTGATGTCCAACTCGGGCCGATTAGTACAACACTACAAAAACACAGGATTGACAAGGATTTTTTATAGAGATTTTCTAAAATTGGCAAGGATTTTGACAGTGATATGTTAAATCCGTGTCAAAAACAGTTTGACATAAGCTACTCGGCACGAAATTATCGATTAATTTGTGTCAAATTCGTGTCATCCCCGTAATTTTTTTTGTATTGCAAGAAGTGGGGATACATGATAATGAAGCCTTTGGACAACCAATGAGGGATTGAGATAATAAAGATTACAAGTCATTTTCGAATATAGTTGAAGACAAAGATGGAAGACTCCGGGAAAGTCTTTTGGTAAACGAGTTGACTATTCAACGCAACAAATTCACTAAGGGAGTGTTTGCAACTGCTTCTGCGTAAAAAAAAGCACTTTTGGAGATGTAAGGAAAAAGTGATTAGTAGTAAAAGTTGATAGTGTTTGAGATAAAAGTGATTTTGAAAAGTAAAAGTTGGTAGTGTTTGGTAAAATAAGTGTTCTTTGTGTAATAGAAAAGGGAAAAACACTTTTCACACGCAAGTCGAGAAAAAGTAAAAATTGGTAGTTTTTGGTAAATAAGTCTTTTTAAAGCCAAAAGCTGAGAAGTGTTTTTTTTAAGCAGTTGCAAAAACTCTCTAAGTCTCGAAAATCATTTTGCGGTATCACCCACATATTAGATCAAATTAACCAGACTAAATCAGTGAAATTATTTTTGAAATAATATGAATTGAGCAACGGTACGAAAAAGTTTGGACTCATTTAAAAAAGACAATTTCAGAAAAATAAAAGTATTTGATGAAATAGATTGATATGAGCGAAATCGATAACTAAATTGACTTTTGGGTGATGAATGGTAATACTAAGTACTACCTCTGTCCCCTTAAGTTTGAGACAAGAAAAGTTGGCACGGTATTAATAAAAATGGGTTTATGTGGTTGATATTGAATTGATAAAGTAAGAACAAAGTACTCCGTATGAATGATTTAGAATCACACAAACTTTACCAAATAATAAGGTATGAGACAATTTTAGTGGGACAGACTAAAAAGGTAAAATGAGACAATCCTAACGGGACGGAAGGAGTAGTATTTATAGTACGTATTGATGACCTACAGCTGATATGAGCGACACCAAGCGGCAGAGGAAGAAGAAACGGAAGTTATGGGTCATTGCTCCGGTTATACTTGCTGCAGTTATTCTCATGTGGACTATCTTTTGTTACGTCCAAAGGGAAATATTTGAACCCCAAGGTAACTACCCTCAATAAAAAGACACTTTGTCCTATTTAAGAATTGTATATATGTTGCTCTTATTGGGAGGAATTTCTTAATTTATTAGGTGTAATTACTTCATCTAGATTGAAATTGACTTTGAGTTTTTTCTCTAGGTTATTTGTGTTGACTATTTCCAATTTTTTTTCTGACCAAATCAGATTAGATTAGATTTTGGATGAATTTAACTAAATAAAAGTAGACACAAACAAATCAAATTAGACCAACCCCAGATAATATATAGTAAAATGCACGCACAGAATGACAAAATTGGTACAGAGCAAACTTGGATAGACGGATCCGGAACCTCTGCCATACTTCAAAGTAAGGCACGGTGCCAGGCCCTCGGGAACCATCCGATCAAAAGATGGACGGTCGGAGATGTTGAAGCGCAGATCCCGAGGCCGTTCTTCCCCCATCCGACGGTCCTCTGCGCACAAGACACTCCGCCGTGCGGCAGAGGATCCCAATCCTGGATAGACTACTTCCAACCATACAAAAATAAGGCATGATTCTTTTGGATCAGACCATTTTTTTTGTCAAGGAGGTTATTTTTAGAAAATGTTCGATATGAGACGAAATCATAGACAAAGTTGAAAAATATGACTAATTCCATCAAATAGAACTTATTTAATTTCATGAAAAGAATAAGTTAGATTAAACTTCCCAAAACGGGAGTAATGAGTCCTATTTTGAGAATAAGATAATAGTAATATTCTCTATTTATAAACTTTGTCTTTTTTTAGAGAATATTCTCGGGAAAAATCTGTAGTCTTTCCTCGGCTGAATTGATTTAAATATAAATTGAACTAGATTATCTCTTGATTTTGGGTAACTAAAATGAGACGTAGCCAACTCTAGATTTGAATTATTAAACCTGTGTTTAAAAGATTTCTGAAAACAATTCTTTAAACAGATGCAATCCAATATATCCATGACTATTTTTGGTTGCGCATGCAGGACATTTGAGAAAAGTAAGATCTTGGATAACAAGAGCAAAAATCTCGCACGTAGGGGGATTGAATTCTTCTTCTCCTCCTAATCTGCAAATTTTCAGGTTTAGTAGCATCAAAGCTGCCACAAAAAACTTTGCAAGTGAAAACATGATTGGCCACGGTGGATATGGACCTGTCTACAAGGTAATTAAGTAGCACCGGCTGGCTGGCATCTCATTTTGTTATGAAATTAATTAAATAATAGTTTTTATGTGCTAACACTTCTATTAGCACATAATGGTAGGCCCTCCCTATTAGGTACTCCTTATTTATTTTATAGTATTTGTTTTTTGTTACACATTAACATTCTTAACCTTAGGTGAGTTTCGACCATATAACTCCCTCTGTGTGAGTGTCACAATGATGTCATCGAAGAATAAGGAGTTTAACGAAATAAATAACTATTGGTTTGCTTTTCTATCAAAGGAACCTATATTAAAATGTTAGTATCAAAGAGTACAACCGGATAGAACTATTAACCCTATACAAAAGCCAATTAGACATCAACTCTAAGATCTACAAAAGAGGTCAACTATCTTGTTGATTAAGGGTGTCAATCATTCAAATGCCAATATAATCTAAAGAGGAGTAAATAAGTTTTAGAATTCTAAAATATGATTGTTATGTTTTTCTTTCCGAAATATGAGTTAGTACTGTCATGATTGAAAAATACTTTATACCATGATTGAAAATACTAGCATTAATGATAATATATAATGACATGTTTAATGCCTAGTGGCTAGTATTGCAACTACTTGGCAGTAAATTGTGCTCTGTTACTCCTATTTCAGGAAGAAAATAATAGTAGTATTATTTTGGAATTCCAAAGCCTATTTATTCCAATTTCGGGAACTTTTCCAACAAATATTACTCTCCGTACCATAGTAGAGGAGTATTGTCTAAAAAATCTATAAACGAGCGGTACAAGTCACTAATCATACCAGCTTTTGGAATCTGGGCATGCAATATTAGCTAAGTTGGCGATGACGCAATACCTGAAAATGTGTGTATCTAGTTGGGGCGGATCAAGTCCGCTTTGTCTCATCCGGTAGCACCCTGCAAGACCCGCAATGGCAATCATCGGGCTCGACCTTGTTGGAGTAGCTCAATCCAGCATGGGATGAGCTTGCTAGTGCGGAGCTTGACTTATGATGAGAGCTTGGCTTGGCGTAAGGCCTTGGCCCGCCAGGTAAATGACTTCGACTGCTATCTTGGACCTTTTTGTCTGAGCCTTTGAGGTGAGGTTTATGAAAATATATTTCTGATGGTCCCAAGTGAGGTAAAAGTCTAGGGGGTGAATAGACTTTTAAATATTTTCATTTTTCAACCCTTTTTCCTCTAACAGAATGAGTTCCAATATCTTTTGGGAGATATTGAAACCTGCAGCGAAAGTCTTGACCTCAAGAGTGTGACACTTTATAGTAACAAAGGTTATGACCCTTTTAGTTGTGAGGAGAGGGATAAAACATGGAGCAAATGTGTTTGCCAAAATCAGATGACTTAAAGAGCAGGCTGCGAAAACATGAAGGAGCTGATTGCCAGATAACTGGGAGCTGGCTGACAAGTCGTTTAGGAGCAAGCTGCCGAAATGAGGCTACTACTTCAAAGGTTAAGATATAGCAATGAACTATACTCTAACACATTGATAGGCTTTTAGAACAGGTCTTACCAAATAAGCATGAAATATTTAGACCTATAGAAATAGATCACTTTGATGAACAGAAAAAAGGAGTTGATTCACAGTGAACTAGAGAGTTCACTAGACACAGATATATCCTGGTACAGAGGTGGTGTAATCCTCCTACATCCAGTCTCAACCTATTTTAGATGAATTTCCACTAAATGAATATCCCATTACATTTAGTGCTCAATCTATCTTTGGCCCAGGCATAGATTGTGAGGTTTTTCACATGGAATTTGAACACCATTCCAAGTTACTCAGTCCTCCAAGGTTTTTCACTAATGGCATTGACTTGTCAAAAGCTACTCCTTGCCTTGCACTTCTCACCTTCTAGATTTGAACACAAAGCCCTCCAGAATGTCTAAACATTAGTCTAGTTTACATGGGTGAAAACTAAACTACCAACTAATCTAAGCTCTATAGGTTTGCATGGATTTGAGCTAGTCTAAGAGGATTAAATGAGTGGGGTGAGAACCAAAGTGGTGAAGGGGATTCAGATGACTGAATGTCATCATGTGAATCTTGGTTCCCTTATATTTCACTTGACTCTTCCACTTTTTACTTTCCGCACTGCTTCTATATTTTTAGATTGGTTGTTGAATCTCCACAGTTGGCTGAGGAGCTCAATCTTACCGTTTGCTTGATCTACTTGCATTGTTCCACTTGATTGTAGAAGAACATGGTTTGCTCTTGTCTTCTTGTGACACAGATTGAATCCTCACACAACTTGTTTCCTCATCTCAAGGAAAAGATAAAGATTGATATATCTTTTATTTCTTTTGCTCATATATATTTAGTATAAAAGCTGAGTGTTTGTTCAATGATTCCTTATAATAAAATTACTTGTTTTTTGTAAAATAGGTTTACAAGAAATTTTTATAATGTGGTAATTTTTTTAATTATAAAATTGTCTTTTGTGAATTTGTTATTTTGACTGCAAGTTGATCTTCTGTTTAATTGATTTTGTGCTAAGAGAAGAGAAAGTCAATTTCGGTTACCTTGCCTAGGAAACTGAGGTAGGAGCCAGCTGAAGTTTTTTCAGCAGGCTACACCTTATGTTTTTCAGATGACTGTCAAATCCTTCAAATGGTTTCAGTGAACTCTTTTTGTACCTTTTCTTTTTTATTCTTTTCTTTCTGTTTTTGGTACGTTTCTTCTCTTTTCAGTACTCTTTGTTTTTCTTGAGTACTTTATCACCAATAATAGGAGCACATTACAATTAACATTGTAGAACAAATACTAGAAAATCTAGTCTAACACAGGGGTAATAAAAAGGGGTGACATCATCAAAACAACATACATATTAATCATCAAAATCTAGGGGACCTAACATATTCCATCACTGATAAACCCTTTGTGTTATAACTAAGTAGGCATATATCACCCTAAAGAAAGAAATTTAAAAATTTTAAAAATACTTTGTCATATTGTCAAGATTAAACATGCAAGTATATATCAAGATCTCTAAATTGCACAAAATACTAACCATTTTTTACTCGAGGGGGTTCAGGGTTGAGGAGAGTTTGGGATAAATAGGGCAGAAACTCCCTCCATGGAGTTTTGAACCCTTGACTCATGAAATCGAACACTAATTTCATGTAATTATTATTTAGTTTTCCTTTTTTGTGTTATTGTTTATTTAGGCACTTAACTAATCTTGATGTAAATGTTACATGTGTATGACTAAGATAGGGTAAGTTACGAAAGGGGGAGGAAATAGCAGTGAAGAGACTCTCAAAGACCTCAAGTCAAGGGCTTGAAGAGTTCGAGAACGAGGTCACTCTTACTTCTAGCCTTCAGCATGTGAATCTACTTCGAGTTATTGGAATTTGCACCGAGAGGGAGGAAAAAATGCTCATTTATGAGTTCATGCCTAACAAAAGTCTTGATTTCTACCTCTACGGTAAGCATCCAATTCATTCAGGTTTTGAGAAGGTACATATATGCCTTAAACATAGAACAAATAAATATGCTCTTATGTCAAATGTTTAAGGAGTGTGTATGTTCTGTGATTTAGAGTCAAGTAGTTATATATGTTCTTTAATATATAATTCAAGAGTATGTATATTCCAAATTTAAAATATTTGTATTTAATTGTCCAAATGTGACTATGTGAGTATATTAACACTCAGCACAAATACTATAATAGACCTGAAAATCCAGCAAAAAAGACTATCATACATAAAGTTACAAAAAATTCAATTGTATTTTTATAGTCACATTTAAAGTGCCACTGTTGATAATAAATTAGCCACAATTATGTGAATTTAAAACTACTCTTAATCATTGTAAAATTTAAAATTTGATGCAGCTGATCAAGCAAAGAAGGATTTGTTAGATTGGAGAAAACGTGTTTCAATAATTGAAGGTCTCGTGCAAGGGCTTCTATATCTCCACGAGTACTCAAATTTCACTATAATTCATCGCGATATTAAGACAAGCAACATTTTACTAGATGAGGACATGAACCCTAAAATATCTGATTTTGGCATGGCCAAATCTTTCAAAAAGGATGGTCTTGAAGCCTACACCGCCAGAATTGTTGGAACTTAGTAAGTGAGCCTTCCCAAGTACTATCACATGCTAGAATTATTTCCGTTGTACCCAAAAAAATCAAGGTAGATTCTATGGTACCCAAAAGGTACCGTACCTTTGTCCACATGGACCAATCAGAATGTTGCAGTTGAATTATTTAAATCTAAAATAAAATTGATATACCTATGTGGACCAATCAAGTGAATGGGAGGTAAGATACCCCATTTTTTAAATGGGTACCGGAGTTCTCACCAAAAATCAAATGCTAGAATTCCATTTTGGAATTTCTTCACTCCAACTTCATCGTTGACAAAAAATGAGGGGTTGAACGATCCAATTCTTTTTGCTCTATGTTAATTATTAGTTTCAGCCGTGAAATTCTATATTGTTTAAACAAAACATTTACAAATTAACTTCTTTCCTCAAAAAAACGATCCAAGAGTCTGAGTAAGAAAGATTGGATTATCTAATTCTTGTTTTGACAAAAAAAAATGAAGTTGGCTTGAAAGGATTCCCATCAATACAAAGTTGTGATGACGAGATTTATTCTTTCTATTCATATATGTATGTACTACGTATATATTTATTATTTATTTCATCCTTGTTGGATGTTTTATCAACTAAGATATTTAACATTGTTAATTCCATGCAGTGGCTATCTTCCTCCTGAATATGTGAAGAACGGAACATACTCTTTGAAGTATGACGTTTATAGTTTTGGAGTTGTGCTTCTCCAAATCATAAGTGGGAAGAGGACTTCTTGCTTTTATGGGTGCAATGAATTGAATCTTCTTGAATATGTAAGCAAGCAGCTTTAATTTGACTCATCCCTGCCCCAAATCATTCTTAATAACTTATTTATTGTTTCATTTTAAATTGTCCTATATTAAACGGGTATAATACCAATTAACTTATAAGACGTAGAGATTGATATTATAGCATGAAACTTCAAGTTCTAATATGCTATTAGAAGTTTAGAACATACCAAGTAATATAATGAAACACAGAGTCTTAACATTGCAAATTGCAAATGCCAATATTAATATGCTAAGAAAAATGTATGAATATTGATTAATATTCCCCGTAGTCTTAATATGCTGAAAATCCCCAGGCGTACGAACTGTGGAAGCAAGGGGAAGAGGCAAAATTTTTCGATGCATCGTTGGATGATTCGTGTTCGCAATGTAAGTTGTTCAGATGTATGCAAGTGGGACTGCTGTGTGTGCAGGAAGATGCAGGAGATAGGCCATCAATGGTGGAAGTTTTTGCACTTCTAAAGAATGAGAATGGTGTTGCAATATCTACTATACCCAAGAAGCCCGCCTTTTCAGTAACTTCAAGAGATGAAAGAAGCCAAGATGATGATAATGGCATTAATAATGAGAAAATATTTTCAGTCAATCTTACTACCATAACACAACTTGTACCTCGCTAAATTAGGGACACTTAAATAGTTCAATTCATGTATTGATTCGGATATAGAGTTTTGAAAGAGCATTGAAATTATATAGTTTTGTAACAAATGTGACGATTGGAGGTTGAGGCTATACTTTTACTGCTTTGGCCAGCTTCTTTCATTCTTTGAAAGTGTAAATTTAAGTGACTTTATCCATATTGTGGGGTAAATAAATTATTTTCATATTGATAGAGCCAGGGTAGGGCTGAGCATAATCCAATTTAGACCAAAAAAACTGAGTGATTGGTCCACGCCGGACCCGTATCGGTTGCATATTGGTTTGGTCTTCGGTCCAAGAATTTTATCAACTCTGATTCCGATTCAGAATCAGGAATATTCTAATCGCGACCTTGGATCAGAATTAAAATATTATGTGTGTGTGCATGCGCGTGCGGGCGGGTGGGACGGCGGGCGTGCATGCGCGTGCGTGCATGCATGAATGTATGTATATACATGTTGAAAATATAAAATTTCAATTAATAAGTGATAAAAATGCTTTATTAGGCATTAACACGTTATTTACATATTTATATTAGTAAAATTTTGTAAATCTATTGATACACTAATATCATCAAGAGAAGAGAAAAGTCAAGGGAAATACCCTGTAAGAATTCGCCAAGAAGAAAAAAGGGATAAATACCTATATATGACTAAAACTCATTACAATTTCCAAAGTATGACCAAGTATGTTTATTTCCCAACATATGACTCTAATGAGATCAAAACAATTATATCCGTAAAACCAAGGAGAATTGAAAGACAAAATTGGCCTTAAACATACGTTCACATAGTGCTTTTCAGAATAGGAAAGAATCAAAGCCATAAATGCATAATTAAAGATGGAGAGAAAGTAGGTGATCCCATATTTTTAGGAACAAAAATAATGAATAGTGGTTTAACAAAAAACTATACCCTCCCAACCAATTTAAATGGTGTGCACCCCATAAACAAAAGAGGGAATAGAAAGAGCTTGCACATACTTGATGAGAAGTAACAATATGACGAAAAATTTTCTTTTTCCTCCTCCTCATGCTTTGAGTGCAGTGATTTTTAATGATGGCATTACTATATTGCACTAATAGACCGCACTAAATAGTGTGGTACTTCATATTTAACTTATATTTTGTGGTTCCTTAAAAAAACTTATATTTTGTGGTTTGTGTAGTGCAATTATTAATTAACTTATAAAATACATGCAGTAAATCAGTTTTATAACATTTTTATGATTAAGAAGATTGGGGGTGTGTAATCCATGCATTACATTGCACTAAATGAACCAATTCATTGCACTAAATGAAAAAATTCATCTTTATTACATAAATTTTACATAAACTATCAGTAATACATTCGAATTGACTGCATTATAGACCGTGCATTATATAAACTATCACTAATACATTCATGCATTAAATGAACTAATTCATTGCACTCAATGAAAAAATTAGTCTTTTGTCCAAAATTTTAGAAGAGAAAGAATGATGGATGGGTAGCTTAATTAAAATTAAAATTAGAAGAGAAAGAATGGAACGTGTAGATTCAAAAAAAAGAATGGAACGTGCATGTGGCATGAGTATAATTAGAATATTCGGTTACCTAGTTTAGTGGGATCTTGAACGTAAAATACTTATGGTAGCAATTTAATATGCATAAAATAAGGAGCTATTAGTTCTTTAATATGTTTACGTATTGTACAAGGGCAACTTTGGAATGAAAAAAAAGGACGGATGATATGGATATCATGTCATGTACCATCATATTAGGAAAAAAAACATACAAGTCATATAATGAGAAAGATGATGACTTTTAGTAATATAGAGGGTAAATTTCTCAAGAAAAAATGTTGGCTCCAAGTTATATCCATAGGTACATCCGTACATAATCAAGTAGCAATTGCGTACAAAAATATCAACAGGACTGATGTGGAATCCATAGAAAATAAGAAATGTTCAACTAAGAGAGTGAATAGATTCAACGGCTAATACTCCATGAATCTCATCATCATTTTCATTTATCCCAACGCCGCAAAGGCTCTCACCGACGGTGAGGTAAGAGGGTCGGATGTACGCAGTCTTACTCTTGTAGGCTTGTACTAAAGCATAGAGAGACCGTTTCTGAAGGACCCACAGTGAAAATCGCGTCCAAAATTGCATGGAATGACTGCTGCTTCATTACAAAGAAGCACAGACAGTTTAATCAGTCATTTTACTTTATTCCATCACACTCCATGAATCTCATAGAAGAAAAAAATAACATCGTTTTGATGAACCTCCTACAATGACAAGAAATACAGTTTCTTTTTAAAATCATTAATACGGAGTAATAATTATCAATAATTCATTTATAAAATCATTTTCTAAACAAAAACTTTATTCAACCTGAACTCTTTGTGAGATGATAAAAATATTGGACAACTTTATTTTATTTTGCAAATAAGCACGGATGACTTCTATTTTCAAATTATAAACATTATCAATCAACTTTTTATCAAACACATTACACATGAGATTTGATTTCTTGAATGGTAAAGTAATCAAAATAAGTAAACTTAAAATTACTTTTCTTACTGAATTAGATGATGTTACTATAAGAGACCATTTTAGCGATTCTCATTTAATTTTTTCTTTAATTCATTAATGTAATAATTCGTATGTTTTAAATACGATTTCTCAATTTAGTAGACTCGGTTAATTCAACAGCTTCAATCAACATTTTATCAAATACTTCGAAATATATGCAAGGACCGATGGGCGTAGCTCAACTGGTAGCAAGAGAGTGCCACAAGGGTTAGGTCTCGGGTTCGAATCCCGACAACTGTGATGATGGGTTACTATGCTGAAAAATGCATAGGGCTTTTGCAAGTACCGGGGACAGAGCCTCACTCTCTAACTGTCAGATTGTGATTATAGTCCAATTTACATCCTCTCATTGTGCCGTCCGGTCGGTGTTGGGGGCCCTCAGAACGGGGTGTCATCTTTTTTTTTTTCGAAATATATGCTAAGGCATATCATACCGAATTGCTTTAATTACGTTTATCACAATAGTATGCCCAAAAAAGTGGGGGATATGTAACTACAAATTCAAAATCAATTATATAATTTCCGAGTATCTATATCTAAGCAAATAAAGTCGTATCACAAATCACAATATATGGTCGAGGTTATCAAATAAACCAAACCAGCCTTATCGTACGAGAGTATATTGTGTCAAAAGAAAGCTATGTAAAAATAAAAAAATATCTGCTACTACGTATAATATTGCTACAAACAAAGAAAGACAATCACAATATAGCATATGACCCTACCTTGTACGAAGTATTAAGCAATGTACAGACTACAATATTTTTTAAGTGAAGATCAAATCAGGTTTCCTTAGCCAATATTGATGAAACCTTTGCCTAGCATATTCCTTGTAATCAAAGTCAATATTGTTCACATACCCCTGCAAACCAAAAAAACTCATCAAGGGCGGTTGATAGCCCCACATGTTTAAAATATAAATTTGACTATAATAAAATGAGGGGAAAACTGTCAAATAGGTCCTCGAACTTTCATAAAAAGGTCAATTAAGTCCTTCTATAGGAGGTTCTGTCCGGCCGTCGCAATTTGGGGCAGTTCCCGGTGGAATTTTTTGATGAAATTTTTTGAGCATCTTATTCACCAAGTCTAGTGTACTCATACCAAATTTCAACTATAAATTCAATCGGGAACACATTCAAATTAATTCTTGAAGATAACTGCGCATTTTTACGTTCTCGAATTAATTTGAATGCGCTCCCGGTTAAATTTTTAGCTGAAATTTGGTATGAGTAAACTAGACTTGATGAATAAGATGCTCAAAAAATTTCATCAAAAAATTCCACCGGGAACCGCCCCAAATCACGATGACCGGACAGAGTCTCCTATAGAAGGACTTAATTGACATTTTTATAAAAGTTCGAGGACCTATTTGACAGTTTTCCCTAAAATGAGAGATGAAATTATGGAAAACACAGGCAGACCGAGATAATTCCCCATAGCCCCCAGAACAAATGATTAGGAAGAGTGTATCTTTCTGCATCATCAACTAGCTGTTTCACATCAGAGTTGATGCTTCCTTGGTAGCAGCCTGCATTTTTCAGTTCACTAAGCTAACTATATAAGGTATAATATCTGCATTTGTATATGCATATCCATATGTGTATACTGACTTACATACACACATACAAATGTCTATACGCATATGTATACATATATGTGATACATATATCTGCACACAAGTTGGAGTAATATGATTCACCCGACCCACCCGAAATTTTGTATATCTGCATTTTTTAGGTGGTCATGCTAAGCCCGACCCACCCGAAATTTCGTGTAAATATTTATCCAAAATGATTCTTGGTACTTGGTAAGTCCAACTTATACTCTGTCCACGCCACTGAGTGAACGTACACATATACATATAGTATATATACATATACATGCATATACATATACAATTATACACACAAGTGCCACACATTCAAAACTACTAAAGTTAGTGATGGAGTATATGGGTGGACCCACGCCCAGATCTTCAAGATACACATCCAGTATTAGATATCACTTGGTTAATGAAAGAAATATTGCTTTATGGAGTCAGAATCACAAGCTACCAATACACACACTCAAGGAGTGTGTGCAATTGCTTCCACTTTTAAATAGTGTTTGTTAGTGATTGTAAAGAAAATGTTTAATAGTAAAAGTTGGTAGTATTTGAGGAAAAAAAGTAAAAGTTGGTTGTGTTTGGTATAAAAGTGTTTCGTGTATCATAGAAAAAGTGCAAATCAGCTAAAAACACCCCTCTACATGCTTCCAGTTTTTAGCTTTTAAATGCTTAATTTAAGCAAAATCAGTCACTTGAAACCACTCATTTCAGCTTTGTAAAGCCAAAAGGTGAAAAACGTTTTTTAGGTTTTGCAAAGACTCCCATTCACTGCAAGCACACACATAATAATTATAAACTATAGTGATACAGATATACTAGAAGATATACTAGAATGAACTTATTTGCTCCCTTAAATAATAAAACTATCCATCTTTGCATATGTAGATATATCCACCATACATACATACACATGTACATACATACATGCACATGCATACACACAAAATTAAAGTTCCCATCTATCTTTTTTGAACGTTCTATATCAAGGTTTTGTTTACTTTTACAGAAAAACTCAAGTGTTAAATGATAACTTTATCATAACTTTTAAATATAAGTCATAGTAACACCATACTTCATCAATTACTTCATCCAATATATACCCCCACCCAACTATTTACTTTAATTATTTACCTTTTTAATTTTAATCATTTTTATCTTTATCTTATATTTGTCTTATCTTCTTTGTCGTTTTTATCTTACTTTATCTTTTTTATCTTTTATATCTTGTTCGCTCCGATTTCATGTGTCGATTCATGTTAGCTGATCCCGAACTCTTTAAGGAATGAGACTTGGATGTTGTTGTTAATTTACCTTTTTAATCTTAAATTTTACCTTGTCTTATCCTTTTTATCTGATCTTATACGGAGTATCTTTTACCTGCTTAAATCTTTCTGTTTCCTATTATTCATGTTAAAAAGTTGTGCCTTGTTAATTTGTTATGAGAACCTTGATATGGGATTGGGGAAGTATATACACACATATATTCAGAATCACAAAAGTCATCCCTGGTACTTACAACATACAAGGAAAAAGACACGACACACAAGTCACATTTATTTCATATCTTAGTACCGACTTATGTGTTTGAAATAAAATGGAAAGGAAGTGGGAAATGGTGTGGTTTTTTACTCATAAATTTATTCCATCTGTCCCAAAACAATATTTTATTTTTGACTTCGCACACCTATCACTTATTCAGGAGTGTGGTTGAAAACAGAGCATATGGTTGATATTTGGATTGAAATAAGTGAATCATATCAGTTACACATTTCCTAAAAATGAAATAGGAAAACTCTTTTTTAATGGAACAGAAACGAAAAAGAAGACCATTTCGAGACAGAGGGCGTCTTAATTTTTTCCATCAACATGCTTTGCCACTTAGTTGAATGTATCTCATGTGAAGAATGTCCACATGGATCAAATGTGCATTAGACTTCAGAATTGATGTTAGACCGACCAACCCACTTCCAGTGCTCTAAATATTTAGTGTCACTACAGGCTTCTGCTCTCTATGTTGTTATATGAATGAATGAAATCTAGGCCATAATATATCATAAAAAGGATTCATGTTTAATGGAGAGTCAAAATAAGTATGTATATATGTAAAAGATTATAGAATGATGAGTTGGCATTGTTTTTCATATAAAGAAAAAGAGGAATTTCAACACGAGCTAGGGTAATTCAGCATCCAATTTCTAAAACCTAGTGAGAGAGAAAAAACTACTGTGAATGGGTAAAGAAGTATTCTTTGCACTTAACCAAAAGTTAGTTAATAAGGTTCCTTCAAAAAAAAAAGTTAGTTAATAAGGCAATGTGTAAAGACAAGTGCAGAATTTGTGGGCATGTAGCATTACTCGAAACTTATGGTTTTTTTTATTACAAAAACCATTCATTCTGTAACATCCTCCATTGGAGAAACTATCCTTCAAAGTTTAAAAAAATGAGTGAAGTGCTTATCAATATTCTTCAAGGATCACAGTTTCCACGTGAACATAAAGGAAAAAACATAAGATTGAAAACATAGAAGGAAATAGTCAGCCAGATGAACCTGGTGAATTAAGATATGAGTGTATAAATCTATGGCGCTCCTCTGGACCTGTGAGAGCAAAAGTTTCAGATGAAATATTGTAATAAAATACAAATATTAAGCTTATTAATATGATTGTTGGGTAACAATAATAATAACAATAATGACTATTTAAGGCATATATTTACTAAACGTAAACATGCACCAACTATTTACCAGGGTACTTTGTATAGTCCAGAACATGTGGAGTGTCTGTGTGATAATCTGCTGCCATTTCACAGAAGTGGTTTGCAAAGTCATAGGCAATTGGATTGTAACTAGAATACTCATAATCCTGTTAGGAACACCAAGCCATGAGAAATGAATCTAAGCATAAAGTGGATGCTTTAACATTGAGACTTACTATTATGGTAATGGATCTTGTCCTGTCGTCAAACATCATGTTTCCATATTGCAGGTCATTGTGACAGAAGCCTATCTCTGGAGAATTCCTTGATAGCTCCTTCTCTAATGTGACAATTTCCTTTTCACAATCATCAAGCTTAAATTCCTCTCTGTCTTCTTGGGAGCATAAACCCTTGGCCTTGCCTAGCCAATCCCTAGGGAAGTAGAATAGTAGATCAGTGGATACTGGTTAGTATATGCACACACACTCTTAAGAAACAAAACTAATTTCTGCTAATGAACTGGTGATAGTTTGCTACCTCAATCTATCCCAGAGAACAACATTCTTCTTACAAGGCATCCCAATGTTATGAAACTCTCTCAATTTAACTGCTATTAAAGAAGAGATATTTGGATCTCTGAGGTCACTGGCTGAAAGTGTCTGAAATGCAACTTGAAAGAGTGCACGGTAAGAAATCTTAAGAGGCCTTTTCACAATTCAGTGGGGAAAAAGTACTTGTGTGGATTGTCGACGCATTTCAAAACTAAAACTTTTAGTGTTAGATTAATAGCATAAATCCCAATATAGCAATGGTAGTGGAATAATGCAAACACCTTTTGAATAATGAGATGCTGAATATAATAATTGGATGAAATGAATGAGGAAGATTTATCCAAAATTCATGAAAAAGGTATTCCAAAAGAGATGATAAAATTATTCATACAAGAGGATTCTAAACACTTCGATTGCTTTCACGGATTTTTGAAGGGAGGGGAGGGGATGATTGGTTTCTGTTTTACTAATTTATCTATATTTACTAATATTAGATGAGAAATAAGTAAGTATGACTTTAGTTAAATAATCTAATTACATACGAAGTATAATTTTCATCTTTTCATTCTTTCCAACCACGATGCTCTTCCCCCTCCAAAGTACCAGAACCAAACAAGCCCTAATTGTCCTAAGAAGCTACAATAGATGTGAGGAAATGCATTGCCTCTCTCCCTCTATCTATTTGTAGCATCAACTCTATCTATATCTCTATGTATGTGTGTGCATATATATACACATATACGAAGTATATGAGATACCATGAGTTGAATATATGAACAGTAAGTACTAACAGAAACTGTTATAAGGAGTAATAGATCTCATACCCTGACATCGATAAACTCTTCCACGCGTCCCCAAGGGAATTGCCCAAGAAGGCGGGGTCCAAACCCTTTCTTAGAGACATACTCAAAAGTCAGAATTTCATCAGTCCTGCTAAACAGAAGTTCAACTCCTTCACCATAAACACGAACCAAAACATTCCTGGAAACGGTTTCTGTCTTTGTAGGCCAGCTTATTCGGTACACCAGATTAGTCATCGCTCCACTTAAGTGGATAACCTTCAAGCGTTTTACGTCAAAAACATCTCCCCAGCTTGTTGCGAGGGATGATAGTAGCTTTATCAAATCCTCAGGTAAACTCCCTTCATTAAGTCCATTCATCTTGAATTCCATCAACACCAAGATTAGGCACCACCTAAGATTTAAATTAAAAAAAATATCACTAAATTAGTATAAACTCATCTCTCAGAGAGTCAGAGAACTAATAGTATCAGCAACACACACAAAAAAAAAAGTGGCTTCTAGAGCCACCTACATTGGGTGTCTGTTTTGGAGGCAGATAAAGTCCATTAATAAATGATATGTTTGATTTTCAGATAAAAAAGATGAACACATGGGAACTTCCCCCGGCCAACATAAGAGCTCACATTATTAAATGTTGGTGCAAAACAATGAACATTCATTTTCAACCTACAATAGATGACCGCGACATATAAATGTACACAATTAGGTTGAACAAAATTTCAAGAAATACTAGTAACACAAATTAAAATTGATAAAACTACAGAAATACTCTCTGTCTTCTATTGAAAATTGTGAAAAAAATGAATGCATGAAGGAAGACACTGATTCACCCATTACAAAGAAGCGATCACAGTGATAGTTCTTGGTAAGAGATAATAGAAATAAGCACACAAAGAAGCGATCACAAAAATAATTGTCTGTAGAAGATAATGTAAAAAATGCGAAATCAAGCCTATTTGCATGATTTAAAAATCACAAACTAAACTAAGCTAGAACACGAGTATCCCATCCCAAGAAAAACAATCAGAGAATTGTAAGCAAACAAAAACAGTAAAGGGGCATGAAATCAAAAGCTTACCGGAAACGCAGAAATCACTTCTGAAGAAAAATATGGCGAGGATCGAAATGAAGTTAATAAAAGAATCCAGATTTGGCAAGTACAGGGGCAAGATTGGCGGAATGTCAGTTTGTCACAGGGCTTCTCCATTTTTTTTATAATCCACCTGTAGCTTGACCAGCGCAGCACCTAGGCGACATGTAGGCATGTCTAAAAAAAAACTGCCCGAGACCCGCCCTGCCCCGAAACATTTGGGCAGGTCCTGCTCGCCCCGTCTTATAAATTGGGGGAGATCTGTCTCGCTCCGTGTAGGGGTGGGCAAATGGTTTGGTTTAACTGAATCGAACCAAATCGAACCGAAAATTGGTGATTTGGTTTGGTTTGAGTTTACTTAAGTAAATCATTTGGTAAGAATTTCCTCAAACTGAATGGTTTGATTTGGTTTGGTTTAAAACCGAAAAACCGTAAACCGAATCGAACACCGAACAACATTTATATTATGTGCGTGTGTATACATACATATCTATGTGTGTGTACATGTGCACACACATTTTGTTTTTATCTTCACTCTTCATTTTTAAGATATAAATAAATAATTTAGACATGAAAAATACATATTTAACACACTCTGTATATCGTTTTAACTTTTACAGATTTCATACATTGATTATTACAAAGTTAGCTTATACGATATATTTGTATTTGTTAAGTTTGGCGATAACAATAGCAGATTGCATTTATATTTTTTACATGATTCATTTGAATAAAATTGTGAATATTACAACATTAGTACCACCGACTCCTTTAGTTTTTTTTTTGAATATTTTATGTGATACTCCGTATTGGCATATTATAAATGCTAATCAACTATAATCTTTTTTTGTGAGAAGTGAATCTTTTTCTAGTGATCGAAAAGATGTTATAAATATTAATTTATAATATTTTATAATTTCTTTTTCTATCGTTTAATTCATTTTACATTTTATTTAAATAATCAATAAAAGAAGATGAGATGGACTACTACTTTCATTTTCTAAATCTAAAATATAAGAACTTGATCAAATAATATTATAATAAACATAATAAAACGAATCAAATTGAACTACATTAAACCTAATACTTTTCACTTTGGTAAACCGAACCGAAACACAAATGGTTTTAGTTTGGTGCAAATTCTCCCAACCCGAATAAATTGAAACCGAACCAAAACCGAAGAAAACCGAATCGTAAACCGATTTGCCCACCCCTAGCCCCGTGCACACAATGGGGCAAGTTCGGATATTCGTATTGACTAGTATCGACCTGTGCCACCCGACCAATTTGCTCAATACATAAATTGTAACTACCTCGGGTCCTGCGGGCCCGGGGTGGTATCAGAGCAACCCTGCAACAGTGTGCTGATCCGTTGGATATCGGGCAGACACTTGGCAGGGGAAAAGATTCTGGGGTTTGATTGAGATTGGTACAAGGGCGCAACGAGGACGTTGCGTTCCTAAGTGGGGTGATTGTAACACTTGAGATTTAATATAAACGGATTAATAGTACTACTCATACCAACAAGATGCATCTCCTTTTAAGGGAGCTCATCACCAAGAACTCCAAAGTTAAGCGTGCTTTCACGGGAGTTGTCTTGGGATGGGTGACCCCTTGGGAAGTTTCTCAGGGCGCGCATAAGTGAGGACAAAGTGCGCGGTAAAGGCTCGTGGTGGTTTTGTGGGGACAGTACTAGAGGTCTGGAGTAACTACCTCGGGGCCTGCGGGACCGGGGTGTTACATAAATATATATCTTTTTTCTTGAATTATACTACAAATACACACATATGTGTGTATGTGAGAGAGAGAGTAATAATTCATGAATTTCTTGATTTCTTAATATATTTTGAACTAGATGAAAAGTTAATTGTCAAATTGTTTTTTTATTTAACATATATATTCATTTATTCATAAATAAATAGTTAACTATTTAAGTATATATTATTTTTTCTTAATTTTTTAAACATTTTATTGTCTTGTGAATGTGCTTTATTATATTGTTTTTTTATAATTATTTGGAAACAAACTTTATGTAAAATTCAACTATAATAACTTCACAAAAATATAAATGTGTACTAGCTATTAGGTTATTGCGGAGTGGGGCGGGGCAAGGCGGATCCGCTCTGCATGAGACAGGTCATGGGCCAACATCTAATAACCCATGCAGGTCATGAGGCGAGGCAGATCCACCTAGTTATGTCACTAGACGAGTTTGGGTCATGCATTATCCGTCCCGACCCGACCCATTGTCATGCCTAGCGGCATGGGACAAATGTCCACCCATGCATGGCAAAGTTGGATGTTTTTACTTGGACTACAATTTTCTAACCTGAGTGATAGCCTATTTAAGTCTGGTATGAGAGATGTTTGATCTCTGTGTACTTTAGAACTGTCAAAGTCTGATCTTGTATGGTATGATCAGTTGACACTTGTACGTTTCAACCTAAAGAGACATATGACAAAAATGATGTTGATATTAAACGAGTTTTAATTTGAATTTGCCACGAAAAGAAGAGTCGAAAGGATTAAAGTGAGAGAGTGAGGGTTGAGAGTATTAAACAAGCATTACTTTAAATTCACCCCAATTTATTTCTATAAATAACATTGCTAGTTTGGATTATTTTTGTGGACACTCTGAGTAAGAATTATTATTGTAGAATTCATAAAAATAGAGATCATTTTTATGAATTTCACCTTTTTTATTTGTAACTAATTATTTATAAAAAATTATAGTGAATAAAATAAATTCTTATAATCTCTCCTATGATACCAATATTGCATATATAGTTCAAAAAATATCGAATGATTTTCTATTTGACAAAAAACTCAAATAGTAATGAAGAGGAAATGAAGAGGACCGCAAGTTGGGTCTCGGGTGGTCCCCCATAGTATTTAACATTTTTATGATAAAAATTTATTACAAACTTTCTCATGTGTAATCTGATTTTTACAAAAAAAAAACTGTATCAAAGCAAATAATTTTTATAATCTTTCACAAGACAAGAATATTGCATATGTATATTTCTTAAAATATGAATTAAATATGTTTGGTAATATTTAAATTGGATGAATTAGCTAATTTTTCATACTAAAATTTTTCTTAACATTCTTATTCACTAAATTATGAAGAAATTATTTGTTATATTTCAAATTAAATATGATGGACAAAAATGTAACTCTTTAACTTATAGTGACCACATGCATGCATATTGAATTTGTATACGTTAGTAATGTATGGATGAAATTCTAGTGGACATTAAGAGCTACAGTACTCATATATTGCGCGGTAGACCATCTGCATTCCACTAGATTGATACAAAGTATTTATTTAGTCAATTAACTAAATGGTAAAATTATATCTCGTCCCAACATTTTGTTTACAAATTCCTTTTTAGAGTTGTTTCAAAAATTTGTCTCATTTGTTTTGTGGAATGTTTTGTGAGGTTTATAGTGTTTATCTCCTTTTTACAATTTTTTCCATCAAGCATAAGTGCACAACCATATAATTCAAACCTCCTAATAAGTGTGCCTTTTTCATGAGTAATAAGTAGGCTACTTAAAATCATGAATGCATCAAAGTCACAATTTCAAATTTCTCTTTTCTTTCAATATAAAAGAATCACTACAAAATATTTGTATCAATATTCTTAATGATTTCACTCCAATTCACACTTCATTTGTTTTTACTTTTTTAAGATCAAGAAATTTGACGAATAATTCCAATTAGAAAGATTCTGCTATTATTAGATTGCTTCCATGGGCATTTTACATGTTTGAAATTTCAATTTATAGATTAATATATCCTTACTTCTAAATGGTCATGTAGCAGTTCTACAAATATGATGTTGGTCCTGTAGCATCTCTTTTTAAAATCCAATGACCTAACAAACCTTCATGTTCCCTCAACTTCTTAGAAAAACCTGAAGAAAATAAATACACATGAAGCAATTCCAAGCTAAGATTTACCTGCAACACAGCTAATTGATATTGCATTTCGATACAACAGTTTCGTAAAAGTAAACTGATAGTAAGCAACTCCAAGAAATTGTAGCACCGTAATTACTACAACAAACCACTGAGTCGACCACAACCATCTCCGGTGTTTCCTCTTCAATTTAAAGTCAGCAATCCGGAAACAATGTTAAAAAGTAAAATGACAAAAAATGTTGCTTTGCTAAACATGATAATTGGCTGATTAGTCCTTCCACATGTATGATTTCATAGTCACATTATCAGCATGCACCCATAGCATAGTCTTAGATACATGAAACTAAAAAAACAAGTTTTCTAGGAAAGTTACCACATAGAAGTTGAGTCATGCTGACACGTTTAGCAAAGATCAAATAGAAAGTAGTAATTATGTTTCCCAATATCAAGTTTCATTGCATAACAAGATGTTAAATTGTGATTGGGCACAAATTTACATTCAAACTATTAGAGAAACTTTATTATTCTATATCTAACCATTTAACCAAACATATATACATTCAAACTACGGGGGGTTTCCCCAATATGGATTCTGGAGGATTTTAATAGAGTTTAGAATTCCGCCAGAATTTAGGTGTCCCCGATTTAGATTTTTGTGGAATCTATTAATATCATGGTGTCCTCAATCATTCTGTGATTTCTATTATTACTTATTAACATGTATTTTAATAGATTTTGCTGGATTTCAATATACAAAAACATTCCACCACAATCTTGCAGACTCTCATCGGATTTCAAAATCCACGATCATTTAAAATCCATCAAAATCATAGTTGGGGACACCCCACCTACAATTGACAGTTTATGGTGTATGGTTGAGAATTTAGATCACAAGTGGTATCCTCTCCAAAAGGACAGCATCGCCAATCCCATCAATCTGCATACACATTAAAACAATATGAAATCATTTATACAAAAATAAAAGAGATTATTCATTACCAAATTAAAACATAAGAGAGTAAATAAAAAAGAGTATAGATGTATAATGCCTTATTCAGATGAGCTATAGTTGGAATGTGCACGACTGGCATAGAAATTGATTCGTAGACCTCCATATATTCACACGTGTGGTTGTGGCTGCGGTAAGAAATCAAGTCTTGAGAGCTTGTGAATACTAGCAGATCACCATTTCATAAAACGTCCACAACTACTATGTTGGGTGCATCACAACTAAAGGAAGACCTTTTAATCAAATACATCAATCCCATGTTTTGTTCTCGGTC